TGTGAGGAATTGAAACTAAAACATGGCGGCCAGTTGAAAGTGTAGAATTCTGTGAACTGGACGGACCTACGTTGACTTTCACTTTCGTCATCAGCAAAACCTGGCATAGGAAACAAGAAAAATAGAAAAAATTACCGGAAGACGCCACGCCAATCCGCCAATCACTCAGCAACATAGACACTAGAAACCGAAAGTAACTCCTGACTCCAAGTGAAAAGTCAATAATAAGCCTCCCTCTTGGTAAGAAAAAAAAAAGAAGAAGAACATATTGCTGGTTGTCACCAATCTATACTTAAGGTCAGTTGCTTTAATGCCTGTTGACCTGCCAGATCTAGGAATCTAGGCCTTGATCAGTTATCAAGCTCAAGATCAAGACAATTGTCAGACTGTTGTCAACTGTTACTGTTGTGGACCTGGCTGACCTGGTCAACTAAACTAAGACTAACGGAGTCCGTTCACTTGAAGCTGAAGAAACTCAGTCCAGTGATCAGTGCATGCAGATTCTATATTATAGTCATGGCAAAGCAGTGGTTGCCAGTAAAATGTAAATTACATCGCTCTTGGATTTAGATCTGGGTCTAGATCTAGAAGGCTGTAGTTATTCACACAGGGTGTGTGAATTCTATGGAATTGTATTATTATTATTGCGACATACTATGAAATTTTATTGGCACAGAGGGTGTGTGAATACTGTGTGGGTATTGTGAAATGTTATTCGCTCAGGGTGTGTGAATACAAGATCTAGATCTAGATCTAGATATCTAGCTAGAATCTATGAAATTATATTCACACAGGATATGACAATACTACAAAATATTATTGGCACTGGGCGTTTCAAAAGAAGGATGGAAATTGATCATCTAATCTAGCATTTCCTTATTTTCCCCCCTCATTCGCATAGGGACAAAGATCATGGATAACAAGATAGTTCACTCCTCTTTTTGAGCCAAATAAAAAAGGTCCTCAAAATTTGGTGCAGACTTTGCAAACAGACCTTCTTCTGGAGAAAGGAAAGAGAGCTTCAAAACAAAGACTTCAGCGCCATCAGAAGCAGTGCGCTGACTTCTGAGAACACTTTTCGGGCTGAGTGAACAATCTTGTTATCTAGGCCTATCTTTGGTAGGGATGGATCTAGATCTAGATCTAAAGATCTTGATCTAATTCCGATTGTGCAATGCGATACAAAAAAAACTAACTCAAATTGGAATTCAAGTTGTTTATTGTGTCAATGATAATGACTCAAATCTCTCTTTTTTTCGTTTTTTGTTTTCCTTAGGCCTTGAGAGAGAGAGAGGATATATAATATGCTTACTTTAACCTTAAATCTGAAACAAGTTATACTAAATCTAGATCTAGAATATCTAGATCCTCTTTCCAGTTGTTTTAACATTTAAAGTTAAAGTTGCCAAAAGATGGGATACCCGGGTGTGACAAACGAGGTCCAAAATCAACGTAGGCTCGACCCTGTGCGAATAGAATTATATCTTATTCACTCTCCCGGTCTGAATAATATTAATTCTTATGCTCACACCTCGTGTGAATAAAGTTAAATCTTATGCGCACACCCGGTGTGAATTATCACTTCCAATCTAGAATAGACGTCTGTATGACGTTGAAATCAGGCGTTAAAAAAAACGCACTCCTCTCATTTTAAGTTAGAAAGTAGCCTCTGCCAACAGTCCTAGTACAGTCAGTCTTTGGGTAGACCTCGGTTTCAATGAAGTCATCGGGCCTGATCTTCAATTTCATTAAATATGAATGTTCTTAAAGGTTTTTGTGTAGATAGTCACTCTCCCCGAGCAAGTGATGTGTAGCCTATTTCGATTTCCTCAATCAAAAGTAGTTTGGTTTCAAATTAGAGGCATTTTCGTTGCTTTGATGCCATACCAAAGAAATGCTGGAAAATTCCCTGAAAATACTCTGAACTCTACCAAGCACATGCTATGCAAGAGGTCCGATCTAATTAGTTCAAATGCATACCTGTATCGTATCATCTCATTTATGACGTAGTGTTTGCCAAACAAGTTGTGTTGCTGTCGCAAAGCATATATATAATGGCAACGTTTGATTCTTCAGATCAGCAGACTCTACAGGCTTTGTCAAACAAAAAGACTAATCTGCTTTCTATCGCTTAAGTTTTTTCATGGGAAAAACAGGTACAAATGGAAATTTAAATTTCGATTGGTCCTCTTAAACTTTCAGCAGTTTTCACTCATTAGGCTACTAATCATTTATGTTTTACTGAGAATCTGTTGAGATAATATATGTAGGCCTAGTGGTTGATGGAGAAGTTTTGTCATCGATATTCGCTTCTGTCTGAAGTGTCTTGACTCTTTATATAAATCTCCGAGGGGGAAAAAACCACTACGCCGGGGCCCTTTGTTGCTGCTAAATCTAAAAATTACAAAAACGTCGTTAAATGGGTAATTAAATCAAAACTATAGAACCTATTTCGATAGTTCTTATCTAATGAATTAACTTCCGGTAAAAGAGACCTGTTTTCGGCAATTGCCAAAAAATAATTTGATGTCAAAGTTTTCATCAAGGAATGAGCCTGTGCCGCTGTCAGCGGCTCACCGGCACAGTGGTTCCGACTGCGAGCCGCTTGGAAGGCTTGCTGAAGATAAAGAGTTAAAATTTAGGCCTTTTACAAAGGGGGGGGGGGGGATAGTAACATGTTCTTATGCACAATAGAATTGCTAATAGGCTGATTTGCCATGTTCATACTATACCGGAACAACATAGGTTGAACTGCTGCTTTTTCTTTCCTCATCCTTACTATCATCATTTTTGCTCTACTTCTTTTGTATGTTTGTCACTCTCTCTTGTGAAGTGCAATTTCCGAGGTTCCTTGATAGTCGAAGCAGACTTTATGCTAATGAGGCTAGAGAGGTGAGCAGAGTAAGCCTGATTCCCCATTTGAACTTCTCTGTTGACATCCACCCCTTGGCGCTCAATTGACCCTATGCAGTTGCGAGCACCGTAAAACTTTACTAATACAAAATCTTCAACATTTATGCCATGTAGGAAGTTAACTGCACATTGTGATTATGAAAACAAAGAAATTTTGTTTATAAATGATTAATGCTATTTTCAATGTTTCTTTGGAAGTAAACACAATCACATTCTTATCGGCCAAACATGACCTCCAGACACACATTGAGACAACGAGTTTAAAAGGATGATGATGGAGAATTCCACATATGTCTGAAAGTCGACAACTGTTATCTGGTTTACCCCAGAGTCTTGAGTCCATCATAGTTGTAGCCTTGAAATGAATCTAAAATAATTTTGGAAAAGTATTATTAAAATTGAGGTCAAAATTTGCTGCAAGAAGTCAGTCTGTCTCTGGGAGCTGTCATAATATCTCGTCTAAGCTGGAGGTCATGACAGATAGGGTTTACTTCTATTGAAAAATCAATATTTGCTTTGATGTAGTGCATATCCACGCTCTACAGTGTATGCTCTTCGTGCTTTACAACTATTATTTACTCCAGCAGATCCTAAAACACTCCGAAACATTCTCAGCTTGTCTGGAAGCATAGAGTGCAAGCTGTCTATTTCATGCGCTCGAACACTAACAAACTGACAAGATCTTTCACTGTCTATAGCCGGGTACCCATTTCCACCTGGGTAAAGTGAGGAAAATTCATGTAAAGTGCCTTTCCCAAGGACACAGCGTCGGGCCCCTGACAGGATTCGGACTGACGACCGTAAAGCCTAACCGGTAGGCCACCAATGCCATATATAATGAGGGACTCTTTTCTGTCCCTTTGTTGTTTCTGTCTGTCTGTCTTGCTTTTTCTTGTCTGATAATGTGTTTATGAGCTTTTTACTTGAACAAACAAACACCTGGACTAAGTGTGGCTCATTTATGGTAGCACCCAGGCGAATTTCTTGATGGACTTCGAGTTTTGCTTTAAAGAACTCATAAATTGTGTCACGACGTAATGGAATCAGGTGCTCGTCAATTTTTGGGCATGTAGAGCTATTGGTATTATCTGAAAGCTTCATTATTTGCTTTGCTTTCAATGAAAAATATACCCATCTATCTTTAATAAAAGTCAAGATATTTGCTATTGAAGGGGATGAGGCCTGGTTTCAATGATGAAATTAGCGAGAAAATGGCTGTCAAAGTTTGGTAACTCCAATAGCTAAAGAGTCCTAGAAAACTGAAAAATGACATAATTTGTGCCTTTAATCGTTTTTCTGTAATATTCACATGGAAATGTGTTTTTAGATGGACCTAAAAGAGGTTGAGTCAAAAAACCAAAATTTGATAAAAATTGCCAAACTGACAGAAAAATGCCTATTTCTCCGATTTAGTTATTTTGACGAACGCCTGATTTCACCACGATGCCTCACAATTGATTCTTCCATTTGCAAGGGGAAGAAGAGAAACAGAAGAAAAAAGAGGAAAAGGCAAACTGTTGGCTAAAGTGAATCATGCTTGTCTTGTCTTGGATACAATTATTGTTCTGTGCACAATAATATCGTACTTACAGTTCCTATTATTTTCCACAGGTAAGGATTTGAAACTCAATGCAAGGCAAGAGCCTGAAGAAACATCAGTGTAAATGGAATGTTCAGAATACGTTTGGAACCAAGACATTGAAAGCTCCGGAAAAGGTAATTTGCATTATTATTGTAAGACTTCCTCATGAACTTAGTTTCAGTTTGTAAAGAAGAAAAATACCTGAAGCTGCAGCGAACACCTAGCACATCTCTGTGATTGGCCTAAATATTGATGACGTATTTCTGCCATCTATTTTTATTGTCTTCCAGGGCTTCCCTTGCCAGTTGACGAGATCTCATCTCGCTTTACTGCTTCGCGCACTCTAGATCTAGGTTTCATCGCCGACTTTTTAAGCTGTGTTTGCGCACAGGTTTGTGTGTGCTTGTGTGTGTACAACTTTGAGGAGAAGGTAAATTTATGGAATGAGAATGGCTGAGGTTGTTTATAAAAGGTGACATAAATTAATTATTTTTTTTAAAGCAAATAAGCACAGCGAGATCTAGAATCTATTCAACAGTAAAAGTTACTCGCGAGGGAAGCCCAAGAGTCTAAGGGGAAACCCCTGAAGATGACCAAAATAGATGGCGGAAATACATCATCTGTATTTGGACCAATCACCACAGAGATGTGCTAGGTGCTAGCTGCCGCTTCATGTAAAAACATTTCACTACAAAGCCTTGTTGACAAGGTAAACTTTTTGCATGTATAGTTAAGTTTTTACACGCAGTTTTACATTCATAGCTTTTGTACAGAATTGTATTACCATCTTGACATAGCCCAGTATCTTTGTTACCACTTTCTGGGTGGTTGGCAATTGGAGGTTGTCACTTTTAAGTTTTACTTCTCTGCTATCCATTTGTTGTTTCTGTGTTGTCTTTGTTACTTTTTCACTAATTGTTCTGTTGACAGACATCCCCCCCCCCACACCAGGGCAGTGCTACTGACTGAAGTGTCTTAAGGTCATTAACTTGTTCTTGTGCACAGTAGAGTTGCAAATGGGCTGATTTATCAATGTCATGTTTATACTGTGCCGTAACAATATAGGGGGAACTGCTGCTTTTTCTTACCTCATCCTTACTATCGTCATTTTCCCTCTACTTCTTTTTGTATGTTTGTCACTCTATTGTGAACTGCTCTTTCCGGGGTGCCTTGATAGTCGAAGCAGACTTTGTGCTGTTGAGGCTAGGCTGGTGAGCAGAGTAACCCTGATTCCCCGTTTGGACTTCTCTGTTGACATCCACCTTTTGGCGCTCATTTGACCTTATGTAGTTGCGAGCGCCGTAAAACCTTACTAAAAACTAAAACTGACAGAGAAACCAGCAGGCTGCGCACATCCTGAAGTCGAAGTGGAGCCTTTAAATGCTGAAACTTTTCAGACTTTTCTCTGCTGTAATTGGTTTCTTCAGCCGCAGCAGAAGCTACAAGTCATCATCATAGTCTTTAATTCTTCAATTTCTTCTATTTCGCTGGAGAAATATTCTCCTCTGCAGTTGTATTTATCATCATCCGACATTGACAGACAAGCTGTTATTATAGTTTTGTTTTCCATTTTTGTGTAATTTATATCTTAACGGTGGCAAAAGTTCACTGTTTTACACTTCCCTCTTTCAAGAAATGATGATAATAAAACATAAATATGACCGAAGCACTTCATGATAAGACATCCCTGGTGGTGGTTCTGACATACACACACATATGTGACTGATGGAATCAGGCGCTCATCAATTTTCAGGCATATTGAGTTATTGGAATCATCTTTTTAAAAACCTGTTCATTTGCCTTGCTTTTAATGACAAAAAATTACTCATCTATCTTGAATAGATATCGAGATATTCTCTACTGAAGGAGATGGGGTTCTCCTGGCGTTTAATGTAAAATTTGTGAGAAAATGGCTGCTAACGTTTGCTGCTTTCCAAAGCCATAGCGTCTTTGGAAAACGGAAAATTTACATTTTTTGTGCCTTTGATCAATAATGTTTTTCATAAAAACCCACACAGAAATGTTTTTAAATGGACATAAAATGTGTTAAGCCCAAAACATAAAACAGGCGGGTAAGTTTCGATTTCTTTGATTTCGATATTTTGATGAGCGCCTGAATGGACAGCACCATGACACATATTGTTAGATTGCACACCTATTCTCACTCTGTTGTAAAAATGTATTAACATACCCCCTGTACATGCCCACATCTGCACCCGCATGGTGACCTTTTGTTTTCTTCAAAAAGTTGCATTTAATGCTGTTGTGTCCATGCACTGTTTGTGTTCCCGAGAGCTTGGATATGAAGTCTATTTTATATGTACATTTCATTTCAAGTATAAACCATGTGTTTGCTCATAGTGTTTCCATGTTATATGTTAAAAGTGAGAAGAAGAGAGCGTATGAGTGAGAGAGAGCGAGGAAAGGAGGGAGAGGCTGGGATGTATTGATACGATTCTTTTTATGTATGTTTTGTGTCACAGAAGCTAAATCTTCGGCACTTATGTGGCCTAATTGTGTTGTTAGTGCAGTAAAACTCTTACTAAAACAAAACACATGGTCAATTTCTTCCTATGGAGGGTCTGTTAAGTACACAACTTATTTTATACCTGTGTATGCCAGTCAAGACTTTTTTATGCTTGATAAAACTGCAGTTTCCCTGTGGTGTCTGTGTGGTTAAAAGAAAAATCCTACTTCTTTACTTTCCCATCTCAAAATGACCATTATACTGTGAATGTGCTTCTTTCAGTCTAACTAAACTAAACTGGTGTCTTTCAGGGTGTAAAGAAAACGAAGTTCAGTGAACAGGACAGTATCAAGGTTATTAAATTCCTGGATGGCTGCCCAGGCCCACAGAGAACTCTGACGGTGGCCCAGGCGTGTCAGTATCAGACGTCGAAGCAGATCAACCCGACTCTGTATGGACTGAAACGCAGTGGGCTAGTGGTGTTGGTACAGGAACAGCCACCGACGTGGGCTCTTGCTGGCCATGTGACCTCGCAGCAGGGGAAGAGTTGGGATGAAGGTGCCGTTTTAGGAAATAAGATGATGCAGGGGTATAATCCACGGGGAAGGGGTAGAGGAAGAGGAATTCTCCATCTTGAAGAGCAATTCTTTTGCGGCAGAGGGAGTGGGTTCAGAGAAGCAGGAGGACAAGATGGTAGGGGGCACAGAAGAGGACGAGGTAGGCGGGGAGCAGAAAGGGGTCGTGGGGGGTGGGGGAGAGGCTCTCAGAATGATGAGTGGAATGGGCGTGGTAGAGGTTTTGGAAGAGGAGGAGGCTTTCAACGAGGCCGTGGCCTGTATGGGTACAGCAGCAACAGTGACAACCGCCAGCCTCCTTTTTATCATGGCTACCATGAAAACAACTACCCATCTTCGTCTTGGAACAACAACAACGGTGAAATGCGTGACACTCTGTCCAACAACCAGAACACGAGGCTTCCTGTCAACAGATACAACGCTTCTCGGCCTGCCTGGCAGAGTGGACATGATTCCGGTGCAAGTCCATCTACATCTGCTCCTGGGGCTTATGCTGAACGAAGTCAAGGGAATCAGAGACCTGCCAAGAGAGACTCCCGGACTCCGGAGAATGATGGCCAAATGCTAAATACAGCTTCAGGCAGTAGCAGTAGCAGAACGACGACAAGGGAGACAAATGCGAAACCCATGTCGAGTCTGACCAACCACGCAAACATGTTCAAGAAAACTGGCAAGGACAGCTCTGCTCCAGGAGCCTATCGGTCCGAGGAAAGAGTGGTGAGTAAAGATATTGCTAGCATTTTGCTATAACTGCAGATAGAAGCTTATATTTTACAAATCGCCACCCTAGAAATACAAAGTTCTGTCTGTTCAGTACTTCGTTTTGAGAGATTTGAAGATAAAAAATTTGAGTTTCACAACATGTCAAACTTTTTCGAATGCAATGCTATGAATATCTTGATAACGACTCCGAGTAATCTTAACGATATTGATAGAGCAGGTTGGTTTCTGATGTCATGGTCTTGGTAACACAAAACGGCCAAAAATGTCAGATAGAACTTTGTAATTATAAGGTAGCTATTTACAGTCAAACCTGCCCTGACAGCCACCTCTATAAGACGGCCACCTGTACAAACGGCCACTTTCGATTTCCTCCTTGCGTTTTTTCTATATAATTTAACTGTGTAAAACGGGCACCTGTCCAACGCGGCCGCGGCCACCATATTTTAACACACAACCTCTATCACACTAAGCAATAACACCTGTCTTAGACGGTCACCTTAGTGACTCCATTACGTTTTGTCATAATTTGTGCATTGGCCCCTGGCGTTGTGGGCGAGCCGTCATAATTCAATCACCTGTCGTTGTTGTTAGGTTGTCCCTCCAACCGATCATATTGCGTAGGCCCCTCCCACTGTTGACCAATAGCTACCAATTTCCAGCTGCTGGTGAGGTAAGCGTGTGATCCCTCATAACCCATAAGCCCCGCCCAGAACTCTTACACTAATCGTAAGTGAGATGAGTGGTCACTGTTTACCTAGTCTGTAACAAAGTAACAAAGGACGTCAACATGAACTTGTGACAGAAGCGTCTCTCGTTCTCCGAGTGGTGGCGACCCATGTGTTTGTTTTAACATGGCACTTGGTCTTCCTGGTCTGATACATTTAGTTTTATTGTCACCCTTGTGCAAAATCAGCAACAAAATAAAATTTCAAACAAAATACAAACCACCACCACCACCAACGACAACAACAACAACAACAAAAACAACAACAATGCGGCTACTTTCGATTGGGACCTCAGATGGGAATGGTTTGTTTTCTTCATCTTGATCAGTCCTGCCTAAGACGGCCATCTGTCTTATACGGCCACTTTTCTCCTTGACAATGGGTGGCCGTCTTACACAGGTTTTACTGTAGTTAGTTCTAGGTGTACATTTTATTGGCCACAGTGAAGATTTTGATATTCCTCTGTTACAATAACAGACTTTTTTTCTGCATTTGTCTACATTTAATTTCCTATAATAATGGAGACCCATCTTGAAAATGTGCTGGTGCAGGTCACATTTAGTGTTGTCTTCTTGGTTCTCTTCAGGTATCTCTGGCAATATAATATAATAATATGATTGTGTGTGTTCGTGCGTGCATGTGTGCGTATGTGGGAGCATGCGCGCGCGCGTGTGTGTGTGTATGTGTGAGTGTGTGTGTGGG